CCGCCCCGCAAGCCCTTGATGGGCGCGTAGTGCCGAGAGTGGTGCAAAAACGGGACGAGAGAGAGGGGGGCTCAGGCCTTTCTTTCCGGCCAAGAAGGGCAGTCGTTTGTCGGCTGGCTCAACGCACCTCCTGTTTCCGTCCAGGGCCAAAATTGGATACGGATGAAGATTCCTCCCAGACCAAAGGGGCCCGCCCCGCAACCCCTGGCTGGGCACGCAGTGCTGAGAGTGACACACCAACGGCAAGTGAGAGAGGGAGGCTCAGGCCTTTCTTTCCGGCCAGGAAGTGCAGGCGTTCGCAGCCCAGCGCGCCGCGCCGCTGGGGCCGGCCGAGGGCCAAAATGGGATACAGACGAAGATTCCTCTCAGGCCAAAGGTGCCCGCCCTGCAAGCCCTGGCTGGGCGCGTAGTGCCGAGAGTGGCGCACCAATGGCAGGCGAGAGAGGGGAGCTCAGGCCTTTCTTTCCGGGTGGAAAGGTCAGTCATTCACAGGCTGGCGCGCCACGCCACCAGGAGCCGGTCGAGGGCCAAAATGGGATACAGACGAAGATTCCTCCCAGACCAAAGGTTCCCGCGCCGGAAACCCTGTCTGGACGCGTAGTGCCGAGAGTGCTGCACCAATGGCAGGTGAGAGAGGGGGGGCTCAGGCCTTTCTTTCCGGGCAGAAAGGGCAGTCATTCACATGTTGTCGCTCCGTCGTCAGACGGCCGAGGGCCAAAATTGGATAAGTACGTAGATTCCTCCCAGACCAAAGGTGCCCGCCCCGCAAACCCTGGCTGGACGCGTAGTGCGCACCAACGGCAGGTGAGAGAAAGGGGCTCAGGCCTTTCTTTGCGGCCGAGAAGGGCAGTCGTTCACAGGCTGGTGCGCCGAGATGCTTGGGACCAGGTGAGGAACAAAACTGGATACGGATGAAGATTCCTCCCAGAGCAAAGGTGGCCGCCCCACAAGCCCTGGCTGGGCGCGTATTGCTGAAAGTGGCGCACCAACAGCAGGTGAGAGAGGGGGGTTCAGGCCTTTCTTTCTGAGCAGTAAGGGCAGTCGTTCGCAGTCCAGCATGCTGCACAACCGGGGCCTGGCCGATGGCCATAATTGGATACGGACTAAGATTCCTCCAAGAACAAAGGGGCCCGATCCTCAAGCCCTGGCTGGGCGCGTAGTGCCAAGAGTGGCGCACCAACGGCAAGTGAGAGAGGGGGGCTCAGGCCTTTCTTTCCAGGCAGGAAGGGCAGTCGTTCACAGCCCGGCTAGCCACGCCGCTGGGGGCCGACCGAGGGCCAAAATTGGATACAGACGAAGATTCCTCTAGACCAAAGGTGCCCACCCCGCAAGCCCTTGATGGGCGCGTAGTGCTGAGAGTGGCGCACCAACGGCAAGTGAGAGAGGGGGGTTCAAGCCTTTCTTTCTGAGCAGTAAGGGCAGTCGTTCACAGGTCGGCGCACCACGCCCCCGGGGGCCGGTCGAGGGCCAAAATTGGATACGGACCAAGATTCCTCCCAGAGCAAAGGGGCCCACCCCGCAAGCCCTGGCTGGGCGTGCAGTACTGAGAGTGACATACGAACGGCAAGTGAGAGAGGGGGGCTCAGGCCTTTCTTTCTGGCCGGGAACGGCAGTCGTTGGCAGGCTAGCACACCTCTCTGCCAGAGGCCGTCCGAGGGCAAAAATCAGATACGGACGAAGATTCCTCCCAGACCAAAGGTGCCCACCCCACAAGCCCTGGCTGGTCGCGTAGTGCCGAGAGTGCTGCACCAACGGTAGGTGAGAGAGGGGGAGCCCAGGCCTTTCTTTCCGGCCGTTTCCCTTGCTCAACCCCGTCTCCCCCAACACCGGTCGGCTCCCGGGGCCTTTGTCCTGCCCCATCCACCCGAAAGCGGTTGGCCCCCAGGGCCCTTGTCCTGACAGGCCTGCCCACAACCGGTCGGCCCTTGGGGCCCTCATCCGGCCTCGCCCACCCTCAAACAATCGGTCACTGGAGCCCTTGTCTGGCCAGGCTCGCCCACCGCCGATTGGCACAGGGGCCCTCATCCGGCTGGGCCTGCCCACCTCCGGTCGCCCCCTGCTACCGTCATTCGGCCGGGCTCACCCACCGCCGGTCGGATCCTAGGGTCCTCGTCCAGCCCGGCCCGCCCACTGCCGGTCGGCTCCCAGGGCCCTTGTCGGGCCAGACCCGCACACTGCCGGACGGCCCCCAAGGAACTTGTCCGCCTAGGCCCGCCCACCTGTGGTCGGCCCCTGGGGCCCTCTTCCGGCCCAGCTCATCCACCACCGGTCGGCCCCCAGGGCCCTCATCAGGCCCGACCATACCACCACCGGTCGGCCACCGGGGCCCTCGTCAGGCCTGGCCCACCCACCACCGGTTGGCCCCTGGGGCCCTCACCTGGCCCAGCCTGCCCACCACCAGTCGGCCCCCCGGCCCGGCCCGCCCAGCACATGACGGCCCCCAGGGCCATCGTCTGGCCCGGCCAGCCCACCACCGGCCGGCCCCCAGGGCCTTTGCACGGCCCCCCCGCCTGCCACAAATCGGCCCCTGGGGCCCTCGCCCAGCCCGGACCATCCAGCACCAGTCAGTCCCTGGGGCCCTTGCACGGCCCGCCCCACCAACCACCAGTCGGCCCCCGGGACCCTCGCCTGGCCCAGCCCGCCCACAACCGGTTGGCCCCCGGGGTCCTCGTCAGGCCCGGCCCGCCCACCACCAGTCGGCCTCCGGGGTCCTCGTCCGGCCAGGCCTGCCAAACACTGGTTGGCCCCCGGAGCCCTCACCCAGCCCGGCCATACCACCACCGGTCAGCCCCTGTGGCCCTCACCTGGCCCGGCCTACCCACCCCCGGTCGACCCCTTGAGCCTTCGCCTGGCTCCGCCCGCCAACCACCAGTCGGCCCCTGGGGCCCTCGCCTGGCCCGGCCTGTCCACCACCAGTTGGCCCCCGGGGACCTTATCCAGCCCGAGCCACTCACCGCTGGTCGGCCCCCGGGGCCCTTGCATGGCCCGGCTCACCCACCGCCGGTCGGTCCCCGGGGCCCTTGCCTGGCCCGGCCTGCCCACCACCGGTCAACCCCGGGGCCCCGCTCTGGCCTGACCTGCCCACCACCGGTGGGCCCCCGGGGCCCTTGCCTGGTCCTGCCCACCCACCACCAGTCGGCCCTCAGGCCCCTTGCCCAGCCCGGCCCGCCCACCACTGGTCGGCCCCTGGGGCCATCGTTAGGCCAGGCCCGCCCCCCTCCGGTCGGCCCCGGGGCCCTCATCAGGTCCGGCCCTCCAACCAACAGTCGGCCTTCGGGGCCCTCGCCCGGCCCAGCCAGCCCACCACTGGTCAGCCCCCGGGGCCCACCCCTGGCCCCGCCCTACAACCACCCGTCGGCCCCCGGGCCCCTCGCCTGGCCCGGCCCGCCCACCACTGCTACGCCCCCCACGGCCCTCGCCCGGCCTGGCCCGTCCCACTACCAGTTGGCCCCCGGGGCCCTCGCCCGGCCCGCCCTATCACCAGTCGGCCCCTGGGGCCCTCGCCCAGCTCTGCCCGCCCACCACCGGTCGGCCCCCGGGACCCTTGCCCGGCCAGGCTTGCCCACCACCGGTCGGCCCCCAGGGCCCTTGCCCGGCCCGGCACGGCCACCACAGATCGGCCCCCGGGACCCTTGCCTGGCCCGGCAGGCCCGTCACCAGACAGCCCCCTGGGCCCTCGCCTGTCCCGGCCCGCCCACCACCTGTCGGCCCCCTGGGCCCTCGCCTGGCCCCGCCCTACCACCACCGGTTGGTCCCGGGGCCCTCGCCCAGCCCAATCCGCCAACCTCCGGTTGGTCCCCGGGGCCCTCGTCAGGCCCGGCCCACCCTCCACCAGTCGGCCCCCGGGGCCCTCGCCCAGCCCGCCCACCCACCAACAACAGGTTGGTCACAGGGTCGCTTTTTCATCCGCGCCCACCGACAACGGGTCGGTCACTGGGTCGCTTTTTCGGCCCTGCCCACCCACAACAGGTCGGTCACCGGGTCACTTTTTTGGACCCGCCCACAACAACCGGTCGGTCACCGGGTCGCTTTTTCGGCCTCAGCCACCGACAACTGGTCAATCAACAGGTCTCTTTTTCGGCCCCACCCACCGACAAACGATCACTCACTGGGTTGCTTTTTCGGCCCCAGCCACCCACAACTGTTCGGTCACCAGCTCACTTTTTCGAACCCGCCCACAAAAACCGGTCGGTCACCGGGTTGCTTTGTCGGCCCCGGCCAGCCACAACCGGTCAGTCACCGGGTCACTTTTTTGGCCCCGGTCACTGACAAAAGGTCGGTCACCAGGTTGCTTTGTAGGCCCCACCCACCAACAACCGGTCGGTCACCTGGTTGCCTTTTAGGCCTTGCCCATCAAGAACCGATCGATTACGGAATCAATTTTTTTTCCCCTCCCACCAACAACAGGTCAATTACCAAATCACTTGTCAGCCCCGCCCACCTGCAACCAGTCAGTCAATGGGTCACTTTTTCGGCCCTGGTCACTGACAACCGGTTGGTCACCGGGTCGCTTTTTCGGCCCCGCCCACCCATAACCAGTCGGTCATCGGGTTGCTTTTTCGGCCCCTGCCACCTACGGTTGGGTTGTAACCGGGTTGCTTTTTCGGCCCCGCCCACCAACAACCAGTCGGTCACCAGGTCGCTTTTTCAGCCCTGCCCATCCACAACAGGTCAGTCACTGAGTCGCTTTTTTGCCCACAAAAACCAGTCGGTCACTAGGTCGCTCTTTCGGCCCTGCCCACCAAAAGTTGGTCAGTCACCGGGTCGCTTTTTTGGCCTCACCCACAAAAAAGTGGTCGATAACAGAATCAATTTTTTTTCCCCGCCCACCAACAACAGGTCAATTATGGAATCGGTTTTCCGCCCCGCCCACCCACCACAGGTCGGTCACTGGGTCGCTTTTTCAGCCCCAGCCACCGACAACCAGTCAATCACCATATCTCTTTTTCGGCCCCGCCCACCGGCAACCAGTCGCTCACTGGGTTGCTTTTTCAGCCCCGGTCACCCACAACTGTTCGGTCACCAGCTCGCTTTTTCAAACCCGCCCTCAAAAACCAGTCGGTCACCGGGTTGCTTTGTCGGCCCCGGCTAGCCACAACCACTCAGTCACCGGGGCACTATTTTGGCCCCAACCACCAACAAACAGTCAGTCAGCGGGTTGTTTTTTTGGCCCCACCCACCCACAACCAGTTGGTCACCAGGTGGCTTTTTTGCCCCCAGCCACCCACAACTGGTCGGTCACAGGGTCGCTTTTTCGGCCCTGCCCACAAGCAACTGATCGGTCACCAGGTCGCTTTTTTTGCCCCTGGCCATCGAGAACCAATCAGTCACCAGGTCGCTTTTTCGGCCCCACCCACCAATAACCAATTGGTCACTGGGTCGCTTTTTTGGCCCCACCCACCCACAACCAGTCGGTCACCGGATCACTTTTTTGGCCGCGGCCACTGAGAACTGGTTGGTCACCGAGTCGCTTTTT